TTTTAATGTTTAAAGTTTATTCTACTCATTATGATGAATAGAATTCTTATGCTGATAATACAAAAGGAAACCATTATATAATATAATAGTTAGGAGAGAAAATTGCTATTTGTTTATTCAAATAAATAATATCGCATGAAAGAGTTAGATAGGTCGTTCATGAAGTATCTTTTCTTGCATGCATGTTGCCTTGTTTAAGAATACTTTCTTAAGCATTTTCATTTTTGTCTATTGGAATTTGATCAAAGATTCAGAAATCTATCATATTATTAATTTTCCATTATCTGCGATGTTGTTTGAGAAATATCAAAAATTAATAAGATTTCAAACTCAATACAGCTTGTACATTGAACTTTAGAGTATGATTTTAAGAGATAGTGGCAACAGTTGGACGAAACAGTTAGTTATCAGAAATTAATACCAAACTGCGATTTGTAAGCTACAACAATAAATCATGCTTCGTAGAAAATGCTGTTCTTAAGAGATGATAACTAATAAGACTTAAATTTATTAATGTTTTAAGATAATAAGAATGTTAAAGGAGGAAATTATAGGTGTTGATATTAATAAATGATGAACAAGGAATGTGTGTTAATCGAAATATAAAATAGTCACCAATATTTCAAGATTGATTCAAATAGATTTTTGTCTGAATTGCTAATTAACTTGCGAAAATTAGGTGCAACTGAGAATTGTCAGTGCAGTGATTCACTTAAGGAAATACTTATTATAAATTGAGTTTTTATTGAGGGATAAAATAGAAAAAGATAATCTCATCTCACTATTGAATTTTCGTCAGGATTAAGGATTGTGAAGATATGTCGGTTTGCGAAATACTCCTTGTCTGCATTATTTCTCAACTTTGTTATTTCTAGGGACAGTTCGCCGATGCATAGGGCTACTTTCGGCCATTGTTTTCGGGTAAGTTTATATGACCTGGAATGATTTCATGAATGACATTGTAAGTGTCTATTGCATATATATAATTACACTGCTTTCGGGAGATATATTTCTCCAGATAAGAAGTGACACTTTTGGTGATATGTCAGTAGTGCTTCTAAATAGAAAACATTAAATAGCTGTTGGGAGAAGGAAGTCATAACTGAAAAAGTCCATGTTGGCCCTTTTATTGAAAATTTGGGGGAATAAAAATTCTTCAATATTTTTTGATCTTTAAAAGTTAAATACATTTAAAGTTTTTCTAAACATTCCTTTAAAACAAATTTTTAATTCTACTTAAATCCTGAATGCATAGTGAAATGGTAGTGATATATCAATTCAATTAAAATTGTTCTTTTTAGCGTACCTTAGCAGTTGGAGCGGGTAGTATATCGATTGTTGGTGCTGGTTTACTATATGCATTGGAAAATGCAGTAAAAGTGGAAGCTTTTGAACATTTCCCACATCCTGCATCTTTACCATGGGATCATAAGCGAGTATTTGGTACTATTGATATGGCTTCGTATGTTTTCTTATTTTCTTTTTTTTACCCTATTTCTTTTTTTTATTTTTTATTTAACTTGATGAATACTATAAATATTAGATGGAAAAGGTTAACAAAATTTGCTGGAGTTTGAGGTATTTGTATCTGCCTTAGCTCATCCGATGGAACATTGTTTTAAACTGTATTAATCTCGTGAAATTAAAAATAATGAATAAATTCTCAAGAGGGAAAAAATTTTCTAATCATTAAAAAATTTCCGAACTTTCTGTACATAAAAATTTGAACACGAAAAATGTTTTCAAAAAACGATACTTACTGATTATGTTGAAATTTTTAAGATTTTTGAAGTGACGTAACTTGTTTAAATATTTCACTTGCAGTGCACGTCGTGGTTACGAAGTATACAAGCAAGTATGTAAGGCTTGTCACTCTATGAAATGGATAGCATATCGTCATTTAGTTGGAAATATTATGACCGAAGAAGAAGCAAAAGCTGAAGCTGCTGCTGTTACCGTGCCTGACATCGACGAATCTGGTATATGATAATTTTCATGTTGTACTTATCTGGTGGCTGTACATTAAGTGTCATAGATTGCTCGAACTTCTCAGAGTTTTTTATTACATAATTACCACGTATTAAGAAGATATTTTACACTTGCTTCTCTGTGTTCAGAGAATTCCCGATTACCGGCCAGACTTATTTCAGGAAATGCAATTGAGCGGCCAGGTGATTTAAATGATCATTTGCTATCACCCTACCCGAATGTTGCTGCAGCAAAAGCTGCAAACGGTGGTGCTTTCCCACCCGATCTTTCGATGTTATTGCTCACACGAGAAGGTGCTGAAGATTATGTTTTCTCATTATTAACTTCATACGTCGATACGCCAGCTGGCGTGAAGGTTTGATTTTCATAAGATCCCACTATTCAGAAATCATTCAAATTTCAATCTGAAAGTTATATAAACTGGTTTACGGAAATCATTTTCGTGTCATATAGTAAAGTAATGAAATTATTTTTGCTGAATTTATGGTGATACTTAGAATCTGGATTTCAATTCGAAATATCCAGACATCGGAGTTTTGGATTATCATAATTCATTTTTAGTTGGATGAAGGAAAGTACTATAATCCCTATTTTCCTGACGGTGTTATTAGTATGCCACAGCAACTGTTCGATGGTGGTATTGAGTATAAAGATGGGACACCAGCAACTGCTAGTCAGCAAGCAAAAGATGTGTGCACATTTATGCGCTGGACAGCGGAACCCTTCTATGAGAAAAAGAAGAGGCTGCTGTTAAAGGTAACTTAATTTTAGCATGTACTGGAAAACAGGAAAAACTAAGATTTTAAGAAATAAAGTAATAAAGCGTACAGGAAAACTAAGATTTTAAGAATAAAGTAATAAAGCTTTCTTCGAAACCAAACTCTAAGCAACATTGATATTATAACAAGATAGAGTTCAAATAAACGTAGCAGATAGTTACCTGCTATTTTTCGCTGATGCAAAAAAGCAGATGAATCGTCCTCGTTAGCATTCTTTCAATTTTTCTTCAAAAAATTCTCAGCATCTTTCTAAATATTCATGTCAAGTTTATTCGACTTTTTCCTGTTATCTGTTTCTATATAGTGAGAAAGGAAAGATAAGATTCAATTCCAAGTTCACACTGATAGAAGATTCAACCATAGATCCAAATTAGCATGAAAATTAAATTGATTGCTTTCATATATGTCACAGTACGTAGTAGGATGGTTTTCAAATTTCTAAGTTTGTAAACTGTTTTAAACTTATACATCTACTTACTACTTTGGTGATTTGTACTATGTTCGGAACACACTTATCGAAGTAAAATACCAGATTTGATACCAACAATACAATAAAACGATCAGACTGAATGGATGTCAGCACTAAACAATTTTTTTAAATAATTTCAGTCATTGCTGTTCCTGCCATTGCTAACATTCGTGCTGCTATACGGCAAACGACATGCATGGACGTACATAAAGGGACGAAAGAGTATGTGGAAGACAGTAAAGGGACGCGAAAGACCGACAAACAAAAGCAATTGAGCAATCAATCTACTCATTGATGTCCAAAACTGGGCATTATAAATAGGAACAAGAAGTAAGGCGTAGAATTGGTATATAAGCTAGAAAAATTGGTATATAAACTATCATGGCTTTCTAACCATTTCATTATACAGCAACGATGCTAGAAATCCATACTAAACTATTCCCTGAGTTAGTTATTTCCTGCAATAAACAATTGTCTTCCCATTTTAGTATGTGATGCTCTACTGATGAAAAAAAAAGAATGCCAGTTTCTGACATTCTTTGTTTTTTTCGTTAACATGAAATTATAACTTATTTGTGCTTTGCTAAGTAAGATGCTTTCTAAACTTTATAGATTGTCAGTTCTAGGGATTCAGTATAGCACATTTTCATGTATGCAGAACTGCTTTTTGATTTTTTTGACTTTCATAAACCTTTTTTAGACTGATTTCTTTTACCCTTGCATACTCCAATGAACCTTTTTATATTGCAGTTTTTGATCAAGATTTGTTAGTAGACAATGTTTACAATATCTGAAGGTGTGACAATATTTATCAGGTGACAAGACAAAGTATTATTCTGTATGTATAATTTTATTTTCATAATTGCTAAGTGCATATAATTGTTCTTTTGGGTCGCTGATGTTTCTGCTGACATCTTATACACAATCCGAGTGCACAATCTTCTTTCACATTTTCGTGGTTACCCGCCTTCAAAACCTCATTTTTTTATAATTCATGATGAGGAAGTGTGATAGTATTTGAAGTATTGTCTGAAGTTGTAGTTTGCTAAATTTAATGTTAAATTTTGTTGTATACAATTCAGAAGAGATATTCTACTGTTGTTTACACATTCAAGTGAAACGTTATGATAATCCATGCAGTATTTTCTTCAATTGAATTCTAGGATTTTCAAGAAATGGAATAGGAGGAGAAGGAAAACCTTGAAACGTGAGGAATGCACAATGAATTCCACATTGGGTACTGTATGTTTGTCACAGTCATATCTCACTTGGTTGAGTTATTTAGCTATTCGTATTATATATTTAACTTTAAATATGAATGCGAATTTAAATATAATAGGATATGAACTTTCCCTAATTCTACACCCATTCAAATACTTAACCATCACCTTATTAATATATTAATAATTGTTTCCTTTTACGATACCAAGTTCTAATTGCTGACTTTAAACAGTGGCACGTAAATTAAAAGTAATAATTGAAAATTTCGACTGTTAGTTAATTTGGAAGAAAACTAATGATATTAGTCTGTCAAAAAGCGTTCTATTCCATAAAATAGTTTATATTTTAGCATTATATTAAAGCTTTCATAATGAATATTGCAAAACATTCAGATACAAATAGTTGATTTCAGAGAAGGAAGAGATTTTCAATGGCGTTATTTAAATGCGTTCATCATCATGTACTTGAATAAATTTTAGTTGTAACCCAAGCAATAAGCTCTGAATAGGAATTCCAAGAAAACTTTTGGGATCCTCCATAGTTTAACTATAAAGTTCCTGATTTTTTCGTAGCATTTCTCTGATACAGCTTCTGAATAGTGTGTGGCTAGCTAAATACGCTTCTACGTGGCCCATCCCTTTGATCATCTGCAAATATCAGATTAGTTTCAATTCTATAAATTTTCAGAAAAAAAACCTACTAGGCTAGAATAATTATTAAACAAAAATAGTGCTATATTGATTTTAATTTTTTTTTCGAAAAATTGAACGATCCAAGGTCCAAGAGAAATCGGAATTCGATAAAGTCTCCCACTTACCTCTACAGTTGTTCCAGGCCAAACTTGCTGCATTGTAGGTACTCCAGTTCGGATAACGTAGCCGTCATTTTCAGCGATAATATTCTTTACGAGTCTGGTATCCTTCGGAGTGGGATAATTGCACAGATTGGTAAATTCTTCCATCAGCACATACATAAACTGTAGTTTGAAAGAACCTTGATAATGGAGTGGAAAATGGGACGTTGATAGGATATGCTCTCAGAAATGTGAAAGGTAAAAAATTGTGCATCGAAATAAATTTAGTATAAAAAGAAGAAGCAAGAAACCTACGCATTTCGCAGCGTTAAAAGGTGAATCGTCATCTAATTTCTTCTCCATTTCATAAGATTTGTCGAGCCAGTCGCAATCCGATATCTGTCGAATTCCTTCTCGAAATTGTTTGGACAGCAATTCCATTGTTAGCACATCCCAGGAGACCGATTTCGACAATGTGCCCTAGGAAATTCAATCAGAAGGTAGTTTTTTTTGAAAGTGCAAAATTTTAAATCCAAATCACGAATGACTCATAAAACGTAGGAAGTAATATTACCTGGACGAAAACGGTTGAGGCTGTAGTCCATGAGAGACAAGGTATTAGTGCAACAGGTTCTGGGGAGTTTGTACAAGCCAAACAAGCCATATGGCCACCCATTGATACACCAGCTAAACCAACAGGCCAGTAGCCTTGCTCTCTTGCCCATTTCAATAAAAAATTGCATTCCGCAACCAACGCACCACCCATAATAAATAGATCAGAAACGTTAACAAGACTTGACCTATAATGCCATAAGTAAAATTTATATCGTTCTATGCATCTTAGCATAAGTCAGCAGGCTTTCTTATCTTTTCAAAAAACCATATAAAGTTTTGATTCTTATAGTGTTTATGAAAGTAATTCCTTTGATAAATACCATACCTAAATTGATCCCGTGGTTTTCTGGACCCGTAGAATGGGTTTTGCAGTAAAATTGAGCTTATGTTACTTTTCATCAAGTTATTTGCGAAGCCAAATTCACGCCTACGGAAAATTGAAAGAGCATTAGATAAATGAAACTTTTAGTGAATATTATTCATAAATTTCTAAAAGATTTATTCGATTTCCCATTAGGATTCAAACATTGTTACATCATTTCACGCATGCACATTATTTCTTGCTTTTACACCAGTCTTTAAATCATCTAATATAATTTTGTGAAGAGAAAATCAGGAAACAAACCTGAAATAAGTGTGATCTCCAGTACCGGCAAGATGAATTACCAAAGCATGCTTTACTCTTGAGAATTTCCCACGCCATGTAGCTTGCCCAACATTGCCAGGTAACAAATCAGGAAACATAAATGCTAACGGACTCAGGAAATAACCTTCCACATAGCGATTACCATTTCTCGTAGCTTCCTATTCAAATTAAATTCCCAATTTTTCGTGTGTCATGTTATATGGTATTCAGTGATAACTTTCCTAGACTAAATTTAACAACACGATAAGTATCATTGTACATTTTGAATTGTATCGAAAGTGGAACTCATATTTAATGCTGATAAAACACTGTACTTCAAATTTGTCCATAATATGGAGAGCTTAAGAAGTTAAACGAGATTTGAATCTAAAATTAGGATCTAAAAAATTAAAAACATACTTCTTTAGTAATAACCATTGTAGGATTTGAACGCTCCACAATTTCCATAATATGTGCTTTCGATAATACATCTCTGCGAAATTTGAGAGATCTGGAATTTGAACATAATTCAATCGACAAAAGAAATCAGAGTTGTGAAGTTGAAGCATTATCCTTCAATAGTCAGCACTTGCTGAAATTTGCATGCAACGAAATTTACTATAAAAAATTAATTAGTGAAAATGTAATTACACATCAGTGAAAGTCAGTTTAAATTACTTCTACAGCATTGAGAGTACTAAATATAAGATATGACAGTGAAGGCAATGAGCCTCGTAGGCCTTCAAAATAAATTAAGTTCATCTGGTAAGAAGGTTTCGAATTCCATCTTGTCCGCTCATTTCGCTTATTTCATTGTAATTTATGCCATAGGGACAAACCGTCCTAATATTTCAGGCTTGCCCCACGAGTTGGTAAACATTTTGGACAGTAGAAGAATCCGACGTAAAGCCAAATCAATGGCACTAGTGCTACCGTCCATTGCTTCACTTCGAATTGTTCTTGCCAGTGGTTCCAAGCAACGTTTGACACTTCTTAAACAAATCGTATGATTTGAAATGTTTCAAATTGAAAGAAGGAAATTTCAAGAAGTTAATAATTTAACTGAATTTTAAAGTAATATTTTTAAATTGTTTGAAAAATGTGTTTCATTTCTTGGAACATTTGAATATCAATTTAATTTAGGGATTAGAACCCATTATACGAGTATCAAATTACGATGAAAACCTAAGTAAAGACCTACCTGTCAATGAATACGTATGTGAGGTAGCACGGATCAAGGCAGAGACGATTGCAAAACTTATGGTTGTCTTTTATTAGTTATCTCGATTTATACATTTAAAAAATCGACCAGACTATTATTTTATTGAAATCTGTAATAAAGACTGTTTCATTCTTGTTTCATAAATTGTGCTTCAGTATGAAATAAAAAAAAATTGCAAAATTTTTCAATTAATAATTAGTCCATTTTCGTTAGTGGTACGATAAGTACTGGCATAAAATTGATAGAATTAATAAACATGTAAAAGGATGCAGTAAAATTACTATTATAAATTCGGATTATCATGGTTTAACTGCAGCTCAATTGTGTTTCACAACTAACTTTTAGGATATCAAAGATTACGATGTGATTATTGGTTGTGATACGGTGGTCCTATTTGACAACGATATTATCGGTAAGCCAGTTGATGAAGAGGATGCTCGAGCTACTCTACGAAGGTATATCTGAAATGTAATTCTTTTAAATTTTCCCGACAAAAATTAGGATAACAAATGCTCTATTAATATGATGTCAAATGTCATTTCTGTTAAGATGCATTTCTCATTTCATACTGTTAAAGAATTTGATATTCTTTCTATTCATACGTTTACGTAGGTTCCTGTAATGAATAATTTTTATTACATTTAACACGAAGATGTTCAGAATTATTAGCAATCAAAACTAAACGATACTCGCCATTACTCTATGAATCACAAAAAGTTTTCCACTGCCATGTAAATTCAAATTGTCTCTAAATTTTTTTTTTAATCTTTTCCAGACTAAATGGAAATTTGCATGAAGTTTACACTGGCGTAGCAATCATCGATAACAATCAACAATGTGAACAATTTGTAGAGCGAACAGCTGTCAAATTCTGCCGGATTCCGGAAATTGTTATCAAAGAATATGTTGCTTCTGGCGAACCATTGTACGTATCTTTTACGTCAAATAAGATTCCACATTATTCTGTTTTAGATCAATTTCTTTTCCTTCATTTCTGCTTATACAAAATATCCATATATGCAAGAATAAAACAAATTTCAGACGAAAATTTAACTCAAATAAGAATTATTACTGCAAAAACCTTTAAATCCTGACGTTTTCCAGTGGTCGAGCTGGTTCCTATGGTATTCAAGGCTGTGGAGGAATATTTGTCGAAAAAATTGATGGCTGCTATTATAATGTTGTTGGATTACCAATAAATCGATTGATGAAAGCTCTCTGGAAAAGGGTCGGTTTAAAATGATTAAAATTATTAAATTGCAAAACAAACTTTTTTATCATTAATTGTTTTAAAAATATTTCATATTATCATGACGTTTTTTTTTTCAAAAAGAGCATGTGGAAAACAAGATTAAACAAGTTTCTAATTTTCTTCAGGAATTTCAGAGAATCATTTATTCATACAAAGTAGTATTAGCTCAGATATTAACTTTTATTTAAACTTCTTCTTTTAAAAAAAGCGTGGAATGGTATTTTTATTGAAATTGAGAACAAAAGAATATCGGCTAAGATAAGAGACAAAATCTTTTGTCTTTTATTTTAGAATATTGCAATGCCAAGCAATTACTATATTTCCATTTGTAACCATAATTTCTCTTTTTTTATCACTAAATACCATCACTTTTAACTGTTTTCCTCGATACCTAACTTCAAATGGCCAAAATGTAAAAATGACTTTTCAGTTGCTTTATCTTTATTCCTCCCTACAATCATTGCACTCACTGTAATTCTTTCTTTTCCTGTCACTGTACTCTCGGTTTTTTACATCACATCTCAATTTGCATATTTACTTTTTTTTTCTAAAAACATGGTTTCCAAATGAATGAATTTTTCAAGTATTTCTTCCTTAAGTTACATTTTACTGAATTCGCTTAGTGACAGAATGTGAAGCACAATACTCTCAAAAGATATGAGTGCTTATCGAATGATCAAATTTGATCAAAGATCAAAATTTGAAGAAGTGAAATCTCGACTTGTTTTCACAATTTCTATGAAATTCTTCACAAATTTACTTTTCACAAAAAAGTCATTAAACAAAAAAGTTAAGTCAAAGCACGATTTTCTTCAATGTAGCGCAAATCGTAGTTCCTTATTAACATAATCTGTACATAACAAAGAATCGTGATTATGATCGCAAACAATAAAAAAAAATGAAATTTCTTAAATATCTTCATGTTCTTTTAAATACCTCTATGTATTAAATCACTGGAACAAAAAATCATTTACCATTTATTACTGGAGTAACTCAACATTTAAGAAATGTATCCAGAAAGAGCAAGATGAAGATGGAAAATAATCGGATATTCTAAAAAGGGAAAATAGGAATAATTTTCTCCTGCTTGCTTCCCCCACACCTTTAATTCAAAGATCTTAGAGAACAACAATAATGATTTTAGAACTTCGAGGTTCATATAAAAAATCCAAAAATTTTAATAGCTCAAGCAAAACATTGAAGATGAGCATTTTACAATTATATGAATCTGTAAAGAAAGAGAAATCAAATAATCAAATTACGTTTAATCGAAAGCTCTTTATATTACTGTCTTATTTCTATGAATTCTGAAAGTGATCGCAAAAAATTGAATAAAAAAAAGATGAGATATGTACATAAAAATAAGTGGACTAATAACTGAAACGAGAAAGAAAAACATATAACCAAAGTGATCACAGAAATATTAGAACCGTAACTCTCATACTGACCTGAATTGTATAAACACATTAAATGGAGACTCTTACAGTTTCATTCTATCACAAAAAACAATACAATTGTTAGAAAATATATTTCTTGAAATATTTGGTTGATTTTACACTTTTAAAGATATAAAATCTATTTTAAGGGAAAAATACGGGTGTAATATTTTTCTCTTGAACTACATTTTTTCTGGAACTAATATGAAATCAATATTTCAAGAAAACTGGATAGATATTATGACATATTAAAAGATTTTTGAAAAAAAAATGAAACAAAGAGATAAAGTGTGCATAATCCAAAGTATTCACTGACAGATACTTTAAAAAAAGCAGAACAAAATTAAATTCTATTACAATATTACAGAACAAATACAATTCTATCATCCACTTTTAAACTCCAAATTTTGAGATCTAAATTGTAAGTTATCATTTTCAAGTGTTCTCCGACATAAAATAATGCAAAATGATTTCATACCATTTCCTTAAGGAATTATCAATAAGTTCTGAATGTATTATTTACATAAGCACTGCATCAACTGCATTATATTCAGAAAATTTCTGACTAATTTAGATTTTAAATCGAAAAACTATGTCGAGCCTTCAGTTTCTCGAAGCGTAGGGGACTTTGAGTTCTTATAATCCACGGGTGATGTTTGCATGAACAACAGTGATGGCCGCGAAAGTTGTGGTGATTCCGGTACTGTTTCAAGCGGACCAATCACTGTGGCTTTCTTGTTTGTCGTCGATTCAAATCCAGGGGACGGCTCACGTGAGCCGAAACTCTTTCGTTTCATGCCACGTCTTTTGACAAGCAGTGGGGCTGCGGCAACTTCCATTAATTGGAATCCCTCACGATTAGCATTCAAAAAGGCATTCATAGTTTCATTAAATGTTTCCTCTGAAAAAAACCGACATATATTTTACACAATACATTTCAAACAACCAATATTTAGATAAGAAAGAACTTTCGTACACTCGTCACTTCATGTTCTTTTGTTAAAAATAAAAAATAAAAATTATGCACAAACCAGTATGTGAGTGAGACTTTAACAATGTTGTCGGTGTCTGAAGTGGTGTTTCATTTTGCGCAGCAGCACTCAGCAACCACGGATGGCACTGCAGTTCGTCCAAAGATAAACGCTTCGTTGGATCAACAGTTAATAGCACTTAAAAAAAGATTCAGAAAATTCAGCAGTCATTAGTATTTACCAAGAAACAAAAACTGATTTTAATATATTTCTATCCAAGGCTGTGCTGTGGCAATTTTATTGCTAAAGGATCGGTAGTTTGCAAACAGAAACCAATATTATGAATATTAGCTCTATTTTTGCTACTGGAAAAACAATCAAAACTAACAAGTAATTAAAGTTTTTGCTTCCGTACTGATGCTTCGCCATTGCGATGCATCAAACGAGAACTCTGCATTCCGAATCCGCATCATAATATCTGTTGCTGATTCGTGCTTGCTACGTGCATGGAAAGGTACATTGCCACTTAGCATCGTGAACTATATTGTTTTAAATTTTAAATATATTGTCAGATAAAAGAAAATGATAATTCAACATGAAGTTTAAATTACAAACCCATAAAATCATTACAAAAAATTTTATTTTCCTGAGACTGACTTATGGGAATATCAACTTACTCGAGTATCAACTTATCAACTTACTAAAAATGATTTTTTTTTGATTTGGTAACCGCCTAGGTAAAGAAGAAAATCACTTTAATATTTCATCTGACAAAAAGCTGAAATATTTTGTATTTGTGGATCAATAAACTAAAACACAAAGAAATATAAAATGACACTTGCATTCAAAGATTATTTCCATTATGAAATAGCTACTGCTAACTGTGACATTTAAAAAATTAAAGATTTAACACTTGATTAACAAAAGAATGAGAACCCGTCTTATCTTACCAAAATAACTCCCAAACTCCAAAGATCACATTGTTCATTATACTGTGGCAACTGATCATCGCTTTCCAGGACTTCTGGTGCTGCATAGTGCAAAGTGAAACAAGGAGTCATCAAATTTTCTGTTGCTGGTGGCAAAAGACGGGCAAATCCAAAATCGACCAAGCGCAATTTTGCCTGCGGTTCATTGCTCTCAAAAAGAATATTCTGAAAAAAATATCTACAGCCATAAAATCATTGAAATTTCCAAAAGTTATGTTAAAAAAAAATACACTTGTAAAATGTTTTTGAACCATTTTACGAACATGTAATTCAAATTCGAATAGCAAAAATTTTGATATATTAGTTTAAAAAATGACTTTGATCGAAAAAATTTTAAATATTTTCATAATGCGTTTTGTAATAAAGATATGCTACATTTTCTATTGTTAAAGAATTGATACCTCTGGCTTCAAATCACGATGTACGACGTTCCTGAAATGAAGATGTGAGACCGCCGATACGAGCTGCTTCATTATCTTACCAGCTTGAGCTTCTGTAAATGTTTCCATCTTCTTTATTCTAGTAAGCAATTCCCCACCTGTAAAATGAACATACAAAAAAGGAAATGTTATTTCTTTCAGTCAGATAAAATGAATGTTATTTCATGAGAAATAAGAGTTATCCATAACTGTTGTTCGAAACTTTTCAATTTTGCTTCTAGAATTGACCTAACTCAAAATCTTTCACCTATTAAAACTTTCTATCTCAGATTTGTCCCATATAAATATGATGAACAAGATAAATATTTTATGTACTGCAGCTAGTCTAAGGTATCTTGTGTGTTACAATTAACTTACAGATAGGATGTTTTAAAATAAAATTTATTTCTTGTTACAGCTATTAGGTGTTTCTTGAAAAAATTCGCGAATACTACATAAACAAGTCTAACCACACCTTCAAGTAATTCCATAATGAAATAGATGTGTAAACTGTCTGACTGAACATCAATGAGGCGAACAATGTTCGGATGTCCACTAACTAAGTTCAGTATGCTCGCTTCGCGACTTGCTTGAGCTTGAAAGCGTTGAGAAACTATTTTCACAGCAAATGCAACTCCATCCGATAATCTCTCGCATTTTCTGAAATAAAAATTGGAACACTTTTGTCAGTTTTTTTTTTTAAATATCATAAAAAATAGGCTGCAATACAAGAACAAACACTTACTGCCACCCGAAGTAGTATGAATTTTGTGAATCCTACTGTTAGTGGATCAGTGTAAGTTCTAGCATGTCTCATCTCCAAAATAAATTCGATTTTTACCTGCAAATCGAAAAAGATCCTTTTCCAAGGAGACCACTTTCTGAGCGATCCAATTTATACTTGGAGAAGAAAGGTGAAACTGAAACCAGAGCACTAAAATCCTCCGCCAAACATTCCTCACCTATTATGTTATTATTAGCGAATATTACCGATGGCGATACGAACGAGTAGCCCTGAAATATATTACACTATAACTGTACTCTATAGGTGGTTGAAAATTAGAAATTTAATTGCAACAAATTTCTCAATTTATTTATATAATAATTTAATCCAAAATGACGAATTTTTCCACTTGTTTATCAGAGAATCTCGAAACTTTTGGTTAGAAATCTGTCACAAGTATAAAAGAAGAGGAACAAAATACACGGAAAAGATTGCGAGCATCAAGTGGAGTATCAGCGGGCGAATAGACTGGCAACTGATTTGTGAACTCAGGAGCAAAATTCGTCACATCTATCTGCAATTTAAATTTATAAATGTATCAGATTTTCTGAAAAAAAAAGATTCTAACATGAAAATTCCAATATGACAAAGACTGATAGTTGATATAATACTACATAGCATGAAAGCTAGAAAGAAAAGCTCACGTTGTTTGAAATTTTGGGTACAACTGGTGGTTCCAGTTCACGTCGTTCACATCGGTACCAGTCAACGTCAACAAGGAAAAGATGATTCTTAATTTCATCAACACCATTCCTGCCCAAACGACGTCGTGCTGATTTTTCCAATAAACGATTAATAAAATCCAAAGCGAATTTATTAAAATTTCGTGGAAATGGTACAGGTTTTGTTAGGATTCTTCTGAAAGCAAATGATAGATTTATTTGTAACTTAGCAATGTATCTCTGTATCTATTGGAAGTAAATTTTTTGGCACCTAAGATTTCAATTAAGAAAACTTCACCTTGCAACATCTTTGCTAGTATTTGAATGTCCATCAACTGTGAACGGTGAACATCCCGTCAGTAATTCAAAAGCAATAACACCAAGGCTCCACCAATCCACTGTCTCATCATACCCCTCCGCCGTCCGTTCCACTACTTCCGGCGCCATATATTCTATGGTACCGCAATACGAATTTGCTCTTTGCAACTAAATCAAATATTAATATTCCAGTAAAATTAAACATACTTACCGAAATCGATTATCACTTGATGAACAATAACTAATATTAAGTTGACTAGTTCTATCAATAGCAATAGAAAAAAATTAGAAAATTTTATTTGTGAATCTGTTCACCTCATTGTCTTTCAACTCTTTGCTCAATCCAAAATCTGTTAATTTGATATGTCCATTTTCGTCCAAGAGAACATTTTCCAATTTCAAGTCGCGATAAACAACTTTTCGCTGAAAAGAAAGTCATTTAATTTGAAAAATTTATTTATGAGCACGGCTCGAATCTTTACCATACTTTAATAATGTTAGCGAAGAACTAAAATCGATATTGACCTTGTGCACGCTATCGATTGCAACGACTAATTCTGCTATGTAAAATTTTGCTGACTGTATATCAAATGATCCTTTGTTGCATAAATGTGTAAATAATTCACCACCTTTGATGAATTCTGCAAGAAAAAGAAATTAAAAAATTGCATTTTGGGATAAAATATATAACTTCAATACAATTCCTTTCTCAATTTGCAAATTTTTTACAAATTTTAAAACATTTGATGTAAACCATAAAAATAGTTGTCAATACTTGTCTATTCATTATAATTATTCCTAATATTTTGATTACTTTTTGCAAGATTTTAAATACTACCCATAACAATGTGCAGTTTGGAATCGGATTGAAATGCATAGATCATTTCAACCAAGAATGGCAACCCTTTGAGGCGTTCCAGCACGTGACGTTCAGATAATGTGTGCTGCAGTGTTTTCGCTTTTGTAATAACACGGCTTTTACGCAACACCTTCATTGCATAGATTACTCCATGATCACGTCCTCCAATCTTCCGCGTCAAAAATACTTTTCCATAAGCTATAAAAATAATATAGAAACAAAGTTTGATTGAATGCTAACTTCTTAGAAATATAATAAGCATCGAATTTACTGAATTTTATCCCATAACAGCAAAAAAAGTGGAAAAAACTTTTTTGAGCATCTAATATTCCTATCTCATATATCCTAAAATTAAAAAAAAAGAGTGGAAAGTAGAATAATATCAGTGGAGATGAGAATTTAACTGTAATAAAATTAAAAATAGAAGTTAGAATAATTCGTTAAAGAAAAGCGTAAAATCTTTCAAACCTCCTTTGCCAAGGACTCGTATGAGTATGAAATTCTCCATATTCACTTTTTCCTCCTCCCACAAATCGCTTTCTCCTGATCCGGATGTTGATGTTGATATTGAATTATGCGACATTTACCTGGAAGCAGCAAATAATATCACTATTTTTTCGCAAAATCGAATGCAGCAGAAAGGATTAATACGAAAATTTCAAGTTCATTAAATCAAAAAATACTCATCAATGTTGTGTGCGGTAACAACAGCACAGATGAAGTGAAAACAGTACTTTTGATATTGTTAATTACAGTTATTTGTAGTTATCAATATAACTGTTGCAAGACTAGTGGCACAACTGCACAAAGCGATGTTTTTTTGAATAAAGAAAGCCTAAGACAATAACTTCATCACATTACATCTAACAGTCATCAACAATTTTACATCCTGAGAATGAA